TTTTTGAGGCTGCCGCCCCCAGCCACCACCGAGACCACCCTGGCTAACCTACCCCTCCGTGCCTCTCTTCCACGCCGCCGCCACCACCGCCTGGCCGTACTAAGCGACTGGTGGGGGTTGGTTTTTCCAAGCGGTGGGGAAAAATCTCTCTCTCCTGCTGCACCCTCTTCCACGATCCTGATGCTATACTCCTGCTGATCGCGACTACCCGATGACAACACCCGTTGCTTCTCTTTTCCTCTCCTCTGTTTTACCGTTTGTCACGCGTTTCGTAGAACAGTGGAGAAATCCCTTTGGCCCCGAAAAATACCCTCCGATGAACACACAGAATTTCTTTCGCTTTCCAACGGCCTCTCCTCTCGGCGAAATTCGAATTTACTTGGTCATTATAGACGATGATTAGTCACGAGGTCATATTTAATCGCAGCTTCGTCTGTTTCCGCGTGTCTCGATTTATAGGATCCACACCATTGAATTCGCACTGAGAATAATTCCTGTCCTTGAGATCGTTAAAAGGATTCATCTTTGTGAAAATTGACGGCTCTTTAACTGCACATTACCATCTTCGACGCTCTAATCTTTTCATAATATCACCTGCTCGCGTTACAACTTTCCATAATGACACTTGCGTGTAACATCACTCTGTTGCTTATTTCAAAGTCGTCCATAGAGTTCGAGTTCTTTACTTAAGAGTGCCGTAGATCAGAGCGACAGCGAACGCTTATCCAAAACACCACACGATTGCCAAGCGCGGTTTCGAGGTCCCGAAATGAAGAAACGAAATAAAAAGAAACTCGTTCCCTGGTCTGTAATTACTGCGCGGGTCGGCCGGATCGTTTCCACGTTGCGGTCAGCCGGTACACCGATAACGAGGTTGCCTTTCGGCTTCCTTCTACGCCTCTCGTTCGATTGTCTTTTTTTCCGGCCGTTTCCTCGTCGAGTCTTTCCTGCTTCCGTCGTTCAACGACCTCCCCGCGCGAGACTGCAAAACGACACTGGGAAGAAAGGGAAAACAAAGACGGCAGAAAGGTCCCTCGTGTAGTTGCGTTTAGCACCGAGAAATACGGGGGTTGCGCGATGCTTGGGGGCTCTTCGAGGGAGCAAGGCGAGCAACGAAGACAGGACGGAAGGCTGTATCGAGGAGAAAGAGGGGAATACTTTGTCTTAATGTCCCCGTCATACGTGCACCGACGACCGTTGCAACGAATCTTTCCAGATTGCTAGGGTGGATCTTCGAGTGGTCGCAATTATCGTTATTGCGACGCGAGGATAAAATGACATAGAACTCGAGGAAATTTAAGAATTAATAACAAATTGGAAGAGGGCGAAGTTTACTCTTGGCGGTAGAATCTGTGTGCTTCGAGAATTGGAAATAAATCGACTAAGAAGATTTTGAGAAAGTGAATTTAGGGAAACTTAAGAATCGATGACGAATTGGAATGATGTATAGTTTATTCTTCGAAGAGAAGAATTTTTGTATTTTTGGAGTAAGAAACAAATTAAGTGGAAAAGACAATTTCGTTTTTTTCTCTTGTTTAATTAAATTGGAAGCTTGAAGGAAATTTGAAAATTATGAAAAAACAGACTTGAGGAATTGAATACTAGCTGATAGTGTAGATAATTCATAGCTGTTGAAGTAATTACTTCTAGGAAAAGTCTACGTTCTTTTCTTTTTAGTATACCCGTGACCTGGACACTGTCGTTACGAAGAAAATAGAATTTAGTAAAGCAACAATTTAAAAAAGAGTGGCCCATATTATTGTGGCCTTGAATATGAATGTTGTTTTGGGTTACAAGGTCTATAAATAAAAGAGCTATGAGTAGATTTTTATTGCTGTTTCTCGTAACTTTCAGTTGGAGTTATACATCAAAGTTAATTTTTTGGTAATGTCCTTTGTTATAAATGTATCAACATGCTCCCTATCACTTCTATTGTAATGTAACAATGCTAAAGTGAGGATCTAGATCAGCATACACTATAGCTGCACTTATACTTACTTCAATATATATTTCTATTACAAATTCATCCACGAATTCCTCTATCAGATAACCTGAACGAAAGCAAAAGGCAATTTGTATTTGGTTAACATAGAAAGACAATTTTGTTTTTTCAAAATTAATTCGCGAATTTGCAAGAAATTTAAGGAACCTCGCATATAGATTCGAGGAATTAAATATCAATAGGTGAAAGATAATCTGGAAGAAAAGGAATCTCGTATCTTCTTTTAAAATAAGAAGTAAATTAAACGCAAAAAACGAACGAGACACGAGTACACCATCTAAGTTGAAGGATGATCTTCCTTTTTTGAAATTACTTATTTCTTTAACAAAATGAGTTCGAGAAGTTGATTGTAGGTAGATAAGGGATGATTCGGAATAAAATGCAATTTGAATATCTTCTTAAATAAAAAAGATACACGAATGCATCATCCAAGCCGAAAAACAATTTTCTTCTCCCAAAATTAATTACAAGTTTGAAAGGAACTTGAAGATCGTTAAAAAGGAGGTTGAAGAAACGAAATACCAGTAGATAGGGGATGATTCAAAGCAAAAGGCAATCTCACCACTGGAAATTAAACTACGGGCCACGAGAATGGCATCGCGTTTCTCTTTCGACCGACGACAGAAGACTATCGATCATGACGGATCTGTAGCAAGTTACGAGGATCCCTGAACGGGAGAGAGCACCCCATATAATCCTACACCCCTATGGGTAACAATGCAACGCCTCCGCGTCCCTAAATTGTCGAGTTCCCAAGATGCATTTCGTCATACATTTTGGCCCCCCGGGCGATACATCGCCTTTTTTGCGTTCCTACCCGACCCGTTATTTTCGACACCGTATACAGTGAACCGAAAGAAATGCAATAATTTCGCGATCGTCATTTGGTCGACTAATGAGGACGTTCGATCATTTATAAATATATTTCGTAATGATACGCGTATCGTATAAAATTGAAAATTAATGATCACCGATCGAACGAACAAAAATACAAATTTGTGTGAAAATCAATTTGCGGAAAATATATTATCCTCCTATCCCTTGGAATTATTCAGTTTTCCTTTAAAATTTCCGAGGAAATGTTACTATCGAATAGACGCGTCGTGCGTTGTTCTAAAATAAAATTCTTTGCGCGTTCGACACGCGAGAAACGAAGGAAATATTTCGAAAGGAGAATCGTCGCGTCGAGGGAATTTCAAAGTTGCGTATGATCCTCGTGGAAAAACGTGAATCGAAGATATAAGAGCGGAGTACTGGCGGGATACGCGTGAAACGGGCGATGGATAGGATATTTAGCAGGTTTCGGATATTTCAATAAAATCGTGGCTCGCGCTGCCGTCAGTTTTTCACAAAAAACAGATATTTAATTATATTGTTCGGTTCGACGTGATTTCGTGTAATTAAATCCTGTCTCCATAAAATTACCAGCCGAAACAGCCAAGCGACAATATTTTTCAATTAAAAGAAAAATATATTCGATTACGTGACCGGTGTCCGGTGCGTTTCGACCGGTGTTTCGCACCTCCCTCGTTCTTCATTTTTATGATCCTCTCTCCCTTTTTTTTCCTCTATTTTTTTATTTGTCACGAGTCGCTCTCGGCCTTTTGACGGTAACGATATTCCATAACCCGCATCCGACACGGTCCACATAATCGGTATCGCGGCGGTGAATGCTGGACGATTATCGACGCACTTTTCCGTACAAATTAATTGGCCCAATTATCGACACCGAACAATTACCTACTGGCGACCAATTAGATCAACGCCGGTCGTTGTTCCCGCGCTGCCTGGCAAGAAATAATTGGTGCTCACGATTCCCCTCCCCGCCCCCACTTTTGCTCCCCGAAAAAATGAAAAAGTCGTTAACCAAAAACAAAAAAAAAATGAAAGAACAGGGAAAAATTCGCACTCTCCAAAGCAGAGAGAACAGAGAAAAAAAAGTGGAGGGACGCGTGGAGACCGATACAAACATTTAGGAATCGATCTCGATCGGAAGACTCACACTGTGACGAACCCACCCTCCATTCATCCACTTTCTATCCTTCACTTCTTCCACCAACTACAACTCACGATAAATTTAACACGATCCGCGAACGGTCCACGCAACGATACGATACGATACGATACGATACGATACGAGACATCTTAACTCGATTCTTCGACTAACGAGTGTCGTGACACTTTGATTTTCACGGCCACGAGAATGTTTCTCATGAACCAAGACTGTCGCGTGTTGGAATACGAAGTAAAAGGGGTGGGAAAGGGTAGGAGAAGGTAGGAAGAAGGGTTGAGTTGTAGAACGCTGGTAATCACACACGGTTAGC